AAAAACAAAAACCCCAGCCATAGAAGTGCTGACGCGTGGATGCCTATTGGTCCCGGTTGGTGCCACCAACCGGGACCAAAGGGTCTCCTGACTGGGCTCTGCGCACTGCCCACGTGGAGGGCCTTTAGTCCTGGTTCTGGATTGAACCGGGACTAAAAGGGGGAGGTATTAGTACCGACACTTTAGTCCCGGTTCCGGAACCGGGACTAAAGGCCCTTACGAACCGGGACTATAGGCCCTTTTTCTACCAGTGAGAGTTGCCATGTGCTCACAAGCATGCTAGGGCAGTTGCCATGTAATAAGGAAGAGTTGCCATCTGCTTACGTGCACGTTAGGGCAGTTGCCATGTACGTGCACGTTGGGGCAGTTGCCATGTACCATGCAAAAACACATGGCAACTCGGTAAAAGACAGTTGCCATCTGCTTACGTGCACACTAGGCAGTTGCTGTGTACCCTGCAAAAACACATGGCAACTCGGGTAAAAAAAGAGAGTTGCCACCTTCTTACAAAGCACACTAGAGGCAGTTGCCATGTGCGCTGCAAAAACACATGGCAACTAGCAGCTTACGTGTGGGAGAGGAGACGGGCGTGTGGGCGAGATGGCAAATGCCCACGCACCAGCCCTTGTGCGTGACTGAAAACTGGTGTGTGGGTGAACTGCTAAACGCCCACACACCGGCCCTTCCATGTGGTAAAATGGATGTGTGGGCGAACTATGTCACACACTACACACACACCTTGTCCTACGTGGCACAGAAAAATCAGCCAGATTGTGTCAAGATTCGTTCATATAGTACTGGACGGTGATGGATGCGTGTGGTCGAGATGGTCAACGCCCACACGTGTGGGCGTTAACATTTCCGAAAATTAAAGGTTCAAATAAGCATATATTTGTATGTTCTTTCAGGTTTTACTATCTCTGACGCCATAGATCTTCCTCCTATATAGTTCTATGATTCCCGCCGCAACGCGCGGGGAATCATCTAGTTTGAAGAAAGAGCCAGACGCTTTCCATGGAAAGACCTTCTCAAGCACCATCTTATTACGCGTCATCCATGTAAAGTTTGATTATACCAAATTACTTAGCTTACCAGTTATGATGGAAAATAACCATTGCCCACGAACAGAGACCCAGTAGCCTAAAGAGTCACCTAAAACCCACCTAAACCAACCATGGAGATCCCATTGCACACATAACTTATGGGAGAATCGGGTGCGTTTACCAACAGACAATTCGTATTGACAGACCGTTGTTTTTCATCACATACAATTATCCTCATGACCGTTGTGCAATAGAACACATACCAGAGCATAAAACGTACTTTCCTCCTCAACACAAGATACCTGAGAAAACTTGTAGGTGGACAAAACAAATAGCAAACAAAATATCAAAGTTACGAAACTTTGTAGTTTTGATTATGACGAAATGTTTTAGGCCTTTGCAAAATTTGATGGAAGATAACCATGCCCACCGAACACAGATCCAGCAGGCTAAAGAGTCCACCTAGAACCCTAGAGATCTCATTGGACAGATAATGTAAAGATACGACATGACTAACGCGAGCTTGTTATATAGATCGACGAGGCGACACTGAAGGATGACGGACTGCTGAGGAATGTCTGCGGGGAGCTAGCCGCAGTCGGCGATGACGATGGACTTGGTGCAGCTGTGGCTTTGGGGGCCCACCTTCACGATATTCTTGACGACGTCCATGCCCTCGACGCCCTTGCCGAAGACTACGTGATTGCGGTTGAGCCACGGGCCGGAGGCGGTGCAGATGAAGAACTGGGAGCCGTTGGTGTTGGGCCCCGCGTTGGCCATGGAGAGCATCCCGGGCATGTGCTGGTGGACGAACTTCTCGTCGGGGAACTTGTTGCCGTAGATGGACTCGCCGCCGGTCCGTCGCCCTTGGTTATGTCGCCGCCCTGGCACATGAAGCCTGGGATCATGTAGTGGAACACGGTGCCCTTGTAGTGCAGCGGCTTGCCACTCTTACCGACGCCCTTCTCGCCGGTGCAGAGCGCGCGGAAGTTCTCCGCCGTCTTGGGCACGTCCTTGGCGAAGAGCTCCATCACGATGCGGCCTAGGGGGCGCCACCGACAGTCACGTCGAAGAACACCATTGGAGGGAGGGGCTTGTGGGCGTTGAGGAGGGCGCGCCAGACGCGGCAGACGCACCAGGACCTGGCGACGGCACGGCGGGGGAGGCGGCAGAGTATGTCGAGCAGCACGTCGTAGGGGAAGCACACACCATTGCCATCGCCATCGGTCCCCTCCATGTGGCCGGCCGGCAGGCGTGCAGATTGAACAGCTCGGAGAAGGCTGACGCAGACCTTGGTATCGATAGAGGGAAACGAAGGCGAGTTATAAATGGCACTGGCGGCTGGTCTTTGGTGTGGTGTGTTGGAGCTTCCTTTCTGGCCTTCCTTCCATCGATCGCATCAATGGCTGCCACGGTTTGGGGATTGGGATTTCTATGCGTGGATTGATTCTGTTTTAGCTTGGATGGGGCGCTCTGCTTAAGGAAGGAATTGACTTGGTTTCAGCGCATGGTGGCAGCGAGGAGGGGCCATCAATTTGTTCTTACATAATTTTTTTGCGGGAAAGTTTGGGCAGCTTTATTCAACATCAACCTCCCCGGCATTATCTGCCCTAAGGCTCGTTACAAGGAAACTAGGGACTGACATCTAACCAGCAATCTGTGACCTCCAGAGTGCTAACTTGCTTTGCACAATGGTGGGCAGAAAATTTGCTGACCTAAGTACACCTTGAACAATAAAGGAAGAAAAACTAGAAGCGTGCTCCCCAATCTCAGACAAGATAGGTGCCCCCACTGCTCGATGATCGTGGTGCGAGTTCCAGAGATCAACGATCTCCATACAATCTCCACCACAACTTTATCGTAGCCTCGACGCATTGCAAAAATGACCCCGTCACGAACAACAAGTGCTTCAGCAATAAATGGGTCTGTAATACTCCCTTCGTTTTTATTTACTCCGCATATAGCTTTGACCGAAGTCAAACTTTGTAAAGTTTGACCAAGTTTATCAAAAACAATCTAAACTTTCATAATAAAAAATTTATATATGGACTGACCGAGTCTGACAATAAGATAGATATGTTTGGTTCCCCCTTTTATGTCTATCTAGAGTGTTCGTTCGCAGTGATTTGGCAACCAATCAATGTAAACAAATCATAATATTTGTAGGAACGAGACATAATTCCTTTATTCATCCACTAGTGCACAAGGGGGCTATTAAGTCGCCCAAACAAGACAACTGTCTGTGATGACTTTAGGGTGGTTCAAAAAGGGATGCATTTAGGGTGCACACGATTTCACCAAGACAACTGTCTGTGATGACTTTGCGCACATAACTTATAGGAGAATCGTGTGCTTAACCAACAGACAGTTCATATTGACACAGCGTGTGAGATATATATGTGTTTTTCATCACATACAATTATCCTGAAGACTGTGTGCGATAAAACACATACTAGAGCATACAACATACTTTCCTCCTCGACACGTCTGTGACCTAATATTTTAAGCGTTTGCAAACTTTGACGAAAGATAACCATGACCGTCGAACATAGATCAAGCAACCAAAAGAGTCCACCTAAAACCCTCATAAACCTACCATGGAGATCTCATTGGATGGACAAAGGGAGGACACGACACGACTCATGCCAACTTCTTATTTTAGATCAACGACATGACATGGGAGCACGACGAACTACTGACAATTGGCCGCAGCGGGTACAGGCTCAGAGCTGGCCGGAGTCGGCGATGATGACGGACTTGGCGCACATGCCACTGCGGGAGCCCACCTTCTCGATGTTCCTGAGGACGTCCATGCCCTCGACGACCTCGCCGAAGACTACGTGCTTGCCGTCGAGCAACGCGCAGGGGACGGTGCAGATGAAGAAATTAGAGCCGTTGGTGTCGGGGCCCGCGTTGGCCATGGAGACCATCCCGGGCTTGATGTGCTTGCGGATGAAATTCTCGTCGGGGAACTTGCCGCCGTAGATGGACTCGCCGCCGGTGCCGTTGCCCCTGGTGAAGTCCCCGCCCTGGATCACGAAGTCGGGGATGACGCGGTGGAACGCGCTGCCCTTATAGTGCAGCGGCTTGCCGCTCCTGCCGACGGCCTTCTCGCCGGTGCAGAGCGCGCGGAAGTTCTCCGCCGTCTTGGGCACGTCCTTGGCAAAGAGCTCCATCACGATGCGGCCTGCGGGGGTGCCGCCGATGGTCACGTCAAAGAACACCATTAGAGGGAGGGGCTTGTGGGCGTCGAGGAGGGCGCGCCACACACGGCAGACGCAGCGGGACTTGGCGACGTCGCGGCGGGGGAGGCGGCGGAGGATGTCGAGTAGCACGTCGTAGGGGAAGCACACACCATTGCCGTCGCCGTCGGTCCCTTCCATGTGGCCGGCCGGCATGCGTGCAGATCTATCAGCTCGGAGAAGGCGCAGATCTTATTGATCGAGGGAAACGAGGGAGTCTCGTGCGTAATACCGATCTCCCGTTTTCCATCTTTTTATTCACTCCCTTTCCAAAGAACGAATCCTCCCACGTTTTTTTTGAGGGGTATACGAATCCTCCCACGTGCACGCACGCATCATCTAGCGTGGCCTGCCAAGGGCCAAGGCCAGATCCCCTTTCGCCCTGTCTCTTTCATTTTTTTTACAAATAATATCTCTTACTCAATCACCAAAACAGTGGCATCATTTACAAGCAAAGGAATGACCACGCTAGGGGTGGTATCCATCCAAAAACCAGGGGTAGAAAATTTAGCTAGCCTCGCCAATTCATGAGCTACCTGATTAGCTCCCCTATTACAATGATCATAAACAACATGATTGAAATCTAATGACATGAAATAACAATCATCAAAAAATGATAACAACGGCCATGCCCACGATGACCCCGCCGAAGACGACGTGCTTGCCGTTGAGCCACGAGCAGGGGACGGTGCAGATGAAGAAGTGTGAGCTGTTGGTGTTGGGCCCCGCGTTGGCCATAGAGATCATCCCATAGATGGACTCGCCGCCGAGGCCGTTGCCCCTGATGATGTCACCGCCCTGGCACATGAAGCCGGGGATTACGCGGTGGAACGCGCTGCCCTTGTAGTGCAGCGGCTTGCCGCTCTTGTCGACGCCATTCTCGCTGGTGCAGAGAGCGCGGAAGTTCTCCACCTGTTGACACACGAACACGTCACGTGTACCCTCGACGCCGGGGGTGATGCACCGCAGCTCAACTCGAAGAAGACCCGACCGACAGCGCGATACGCAAGACAGTCGACGGGCGCTTTTGCAGACCCGAAAACCCCACACCCCCGGGAAGGACCCCGTCAGAGAGTGCGGCGACTATGGGCTGCCCTAGGTCGATTCGCTCGCCCCTAGAGCCTCGGGATTCGCAGCTCTCAAACACGAAGAACAACGAAGAACGAGAGAGAAAAACGATGGAGAGATAAAACGTAGATGAAAAAGTAGTATGTTGATTTGTTCGATTGTGTGTTGTTCAATCGGCCATCACCCCCAACATATATAAGAGGCGGCTGGACTTCCCGTACAAGCAAAGGATTCATCTAGGCTTTCCTTACAAAAAATTATATCAATTCATGTTCTAGAGTCCTAGTTCTATTCCAACTCGGATTCAGTCTGAATCTGGCTCAACTTCTGTATTCCTCCTTGCGCGGGCCGCCGAGCTTGCATGTGACCTCCGATCAAGACGGCCCAAATATGAAACTTGTGCGTCTCGACGAGACGAACAATCTTTATGTTGAACACTTTTCCAGATAAGACCATCTTGAATATTCTACGAAGCCATCTTTAATATCCAGTCGGACTCGGTCATGTAACGGACTGGATTGTCCGAGTCTCGTAGTGAACTTACAGGCCATATACTATCTCATATGATAATGACTCCAAAACCAAAGTTCACCGTTTTGACGATGCGCACAACTTCCGTGTTGATCACTTTTCCATCCAAGGTCATCTGGATTACCTTTTGGGCACATCTTCAGTTTCACTCGGATCCGAGCTCATCCACTCGGATATTAGAGTTTTTCGTCCGACTGGACCTTTTCACTCGGATGTTAGAGTCTTTCACTCGGAAGACAATCTTTCACTCGGATGACTATAATTTCACTCGGAAGACAATCTTTCACTCGGATGACTATATTTCGCTCGGAAGGCAATATCTTACTCGAACGTCAAGTTTTCATTCCGATGGTAATCTTTTCACTCAGAATAACTTCACTCGGATGATAATTTCACTCGGATAACTATATTTTCACTCAGAAGCCAATCTTTTACTCGATCGATAAGTTTTTCACTCGATCGGTAGGTTTTCACTCGGATGGTAAACTTTTCACTCGGATTTCCCGACTGAAAACATAACCTGATGTTGATTTGCCTCTTTAGGTTGCATACGACCTCGGATTGAGACAAATTTTATATGAAAAACAATCGGCTCGACGAGACAAAACTTTTTCGTGTTGAAGGTTTTTCGATTCAAGGCCGTATTGATGGCCGAATTACTCGCGCAACCTATCAGACAAGTGTCTGGCACCTCGCGCCATATTTTCGTTGAGGTTCGGTCTGCAGTGTATTGCCTCTAACTGTTGCATATTAACTCGGATTGAGATGATTTATATATCAAAATCGATTGCCTCGACGAGATGAAGACAATTCCTTAAGAGTGCTCCTTCATCCGAGGTCATCTTGAAGACGTGGTTGGCCAAAAACCACTCGGAACATTGAATTATGCCACTCGAAGTATAGTTTCGGTCCGTAAGATAAAGTCGAATGAATATAACCGAAACATCAAAGTGGTTCCACTCGGCGACGTGAATCTTTTCATGCTGAAAACCTGTTCACTCGAGACCATCTTCATTGCAATCTGTATCTTGCCAAAATCAGGTGTCAACACATGCCCCCCTGTTTTTCGGCAAAGCTTGCACGCCGAAAAATAATATGCATAGTGTTTGTTCTAAGGACGATATCAACACTCCATCGGCCATTTATTTTTCTCAGGGCGATAATTATGTATCGGCCATGTTTGTGCTAAGGGCGATAATCGTATATCGGCCATTGCCTACTGTTGGAAATATGCCCTAGAGGCAATAATAAAAGGATTATTATTATATTTCCTTGTTCATGATAATTGTCTTTTATTCATGCTATAATTGAGTTATCCGGAAATCGTAATACATGTGTGAATACATAGACACCAATATGTCCCTAGTAAGCCTCTAGTTGACTAGCTCGTTGATTAACTGATAGTCATGGTTTGCTGACTATGGGCATTGGATGTCGTTGATAACGAGATCACATCATTGGGAGAATGATGTGATGGACAAGACCCAATCCTAAGCATAGCACAAGATCGTGTAGTTCGTTTTGCTAGAGCTTTTTCCAATGTCAAGTATCTTTTCCTTAGACCATGAGATCGTGTAACTCTCGGATACCGCAGGGGTGCTTTGGGTGTACCAAACGTCACAACGTAACTGGGTGACTATAAAGGTATGCTACGGGTATCTCTGAAAGTGTCTGTTGGGTTGACACGGATCGAGACTGGGATTTGTCACTCCGTATGACGGAGAGGTATCTCTGGGCCCACTCGGTAATGCATCATCATAATGAGCTCAAAGTGACCAAGTGTCTGGTCATGAGATCATGCATTACGGTACGAGTAAAGTGACTTGCCGGTAACGAGATTGAATGAGGTATTGGGATACCGACGATCGAATCTCGGGCAAGTAACGTACCGATTGACAAAGGGAATTATATACGGGGTTGCGTGAATCCTCGACATCGTGGTTCATCCGATGAGATCATCGAGGAGCATGTGGGAGCCAACATGGGTATCCAGATCCCGCTGTTGGTTATTGACCGGAGAGCCATCTCGGTTATGTCTACATGTCTCCCGAACCCGTAGGGTCTACACACTTAAGGTTCGGTGACACTAGGGTTGTAGAGATATGTATATGCAGTAACCCGAAAGTTGTTCGGAGTCCCGGATGAGATCCCGGACGTCACGAGGAGTTCCGGAATGGTCTGGAGGTAAAGAATTATATATAGGAAGTGCTATTTCGGCCATCGGGACAAGTTTCGGGGTCACCGGTATTGTACCGGGACCACCGGAAGGGTCCCGGGGGTCCACCGGGTGGGGCCACCTATCCCGGAGGGCCCCATGGGCTGAAGTGGGAGGGGAACCAGCCCCTAGTGGGCTGGTGCGCCCCCCCCCCTTGGGCCTTCCCCCTGCGCCTAGGGTTGGGAACCCTAGGGTGGGGGGTGCCCCACTTGCCTTGGGGGGCACTCCACCCCCCTTGGCCGCCGCCCCCTTGGGAGATTGGATCTCCAGGGCCGGCGCCCCCCTGGGGACCCTATATATAGAGGGGGGAGGGAGGGCAGCCGCACCCATGCCTTTGGTGCCTCCCTCTCCCTCTCCAACACCTCCTCCTCCTCCATAGAGCTTGGCGAAGCCCTGCCGGAGTACTGCTGCATCCACCACCACGCCGTCGTGTTGCTGGATCTTCATCAACCTCTCCTTTCCCCTTGCTGGATCAAGTAGGAGGAGACGTCATGCTGACCGTACGTGTGTTGAACACGGAGGTGCCATCCGTTCGGCGCTAGGATCTCCGGTGATTTGGATCATGTCGAGTACGACTCCCTCATCCCTGTTCCTTGAACGCTTCTGCTCGCGATCTACAAAGGTATGTAGATGCATCCGATCACTCGTTGCTAGATGAACTTATAGATGGATCTTGGTGAAACCGTAGGAAAATTTTTGTTTTCTGCAACGTTCCCCAACAGTGGCATCATGAGCCAGGTTTATGCGTAGTTCTCTTTGCACGAGTAGAACACAATTTGTTGTGGGCGTAGATGTTGTCAACTTTCTTGCCGCTACTAGTCTTATTTTGCTTCAGCGGTATTGTGGGATGAAGCGGCCCGGACCGACCTTACACGTACACTTACGTGAGACTGGTTCCACCGACTGACATGCACTAGTTGCATAAGGTGGCTAGCGGGTGTCTGTCTCTCCCACTTTAGTTGGAGCGGATTCGATGAAAAGGTTCCTTATGAAGGGTAAATAGAAGTTGACAAATCACGTTGTGGCTTTTACGTAGGTAAGAAAACGTTCTTGCTAGAACCCTATTGCAGCCACGTAAAACTTGCAACAACAATTAGAGGACGTCTAACTTGTTTTTGCAGCAAGTGCTTTGTGATGTGATATGGCCAAAGTTGTGATGAATGATGAATGATATATATGTGATGTATGAGATCGTGTTCTTGTAATAGGAATCACGACTTGCATGTCGATGAGTATGAAAACCGGCAGGAGCCATAGGAGTTGTCTTTATTTTTGTATGACCTGCGTGTCATTGAGAAACGCCATGTAAATTACTTTACTTTATTGC